TGTCAATATCACCACAAAACCTCCTCAATGCAACGAAATTACATCCAAATTAGTATTGATAATTTCTTGTAAATTTTACTGCTGTTAAAGACAACCAGGAGACAACTATTCAAAGTTCGTAGAGAACGAGATTGCATGTTTGTGATCCATGAACGTAAATTGAATTACACTTTGCGCGCAACTGAGTTGCTCTGAAGATTAATTGAGATAGTTTTGAGGTGGTTTATAAAAAAAAAATATTGCGGAGGCAAATTAATTTTCATTAACCCGGCCAAAATGTGGTTGTATCCGTGTTAAGAGAAATGGGATGGAAACGAAAGAATATCTACAAAAACAAGATGGTTCAAATAATCTGAATGTCAAAAATAAAAAGAAATGATGAAATGGATTGTTGAAAAAGAAACGATATTTGTCCAGACAGTAGTGTGTATATCCTTCCTACCCCATTCAAGGACGATGCAGAGGTGGAACTATGAGGCCGTGAAGGAGTACCATTGCATAGTGGCAACGAAGAAGGGACTCCCCCCCTCCCCCGCCCCCCTCCATCTCACCACCACTCACACGCTGTTTGCAAGAAAGTGAAAGAAAAATCCGCTGTCCTAGACGACATTTCAATTTAATTTAGTTTTCCGAGAACTCATTAAATAAAGTTATTTTTATTTTTGACATTTACATGTAAACCAGCTGAGTGGGTTGCGACATTGAAAACTCAGACCCGTTAAACTGAGACCCTCGAAAACGAAAACTCACACCCGAAAAAGTCAGACTCTCTGTGCGTCTCGAAAACTCAAACTCGAAAAATATCACAACTTTTTTTTCGCAGCGTGTTTACTGCGGATTGCTTCAAGACATCTTATTTGCTGTTCATCCATACAATGTCATAGGCACAATCTGCAGAAAGAGGAAAAAAAAAGCCCACGGTGGTAGATTCATCTGCTCGGATCACGAAAATAATACCCAGCATTCGTATGTTTTTATTTTTTTGGGGGTTGCTTTATAAGTATAAACCAAATTGATGAAATTTATTTTATACCTAAAAGCCATTTAAATTCCAAGATTAGTGACAATGGCTCGAGGTGCATTGCGTGACAGTTTCGGATATTATATACTACGGATCCTTATGCTTCGGTTAATTATGCTAAATTAAGAAGAGTTTTCCGGGTCTGGGTTTTCGAGACACCTTAAGACACCTTTGAATCAGCAAAAAATTATCTCAAGCTTCATAGCAAGTGGTCGTAAGTCAATTCCATGCACGAGGTAATAAAGGAAGGAAATGAAACGGAAAACAAGACGGTGTACAAACCTGCGACGATACATACGACAATGATAGCAAGAAAGATTTCCGCCGGCAATCCTGCAGACCTAGCGACAATTTCACGTATCGAGATGCTTATTCCAGTTGTTTGTCCTTTTTGATCATTTCGTGGGCCGGATAGCAATGAAGTTTTGTCGTAACCTGTATTTCCTCATTGTTTACATTCGGCTGCGCCAAATAGACACCACCTCTGACGTCTTTACTCGACCCTCTTGCTTGCTCGCTAATAATTGAAGAAAAACTGACCCGCCACCCGCAATGCTCGGCGATTTTTCTGATCTGAAAGAATAGTTAATGTTTTCAAAAACAAGGAGGAACGTTTAGGTAATATCGACATTTCGAAGTCTTACCTTTAAATCTGTAACGCGTCACGCCATCCGAAAAAGGGTTTGCAGAAGTCCCAAAATTAAATTTAGGGTAAAGGTTCGCTCACTATTAGCTTACAGTTTGTTCTACACAAGAGCAACAAAGACTATCGAACTAAGGATCCACTTTGTTTTTCCATGCAGCGTGACGGTAAAAATATAATTTTCGCGGGAAAGTTTAGCCTAGACGGTAAGGATTTGGCGAGTTTGAAATGTTTACTTAAGTTAACAACGATGTCACAGCTTAAAAATTCTCTTCTGCAGTCCACCTAACTATTTTTTTGCAGATCTTTCATTAAATCATGAATAACAATCGCTGAAAGTCGGAATGAGGTGATATTTTTTGCTAAATATTTGGCGGGAAATATTTCTGAATAATGATTTTTTTTGGATTTTGCGAGACCAGTTACTCCGATTTGCTTGTAGATACCAATTTTAACTCAACCGGATATTAATAACAATGCAAGAGACTATCACAAAATTGTTTTTCTGTGGAAATAAACTGCCGCACTTTTGAAAAACGACTCGCTGAAAATGGCTAAAATTCGGGTCACGCTAATTAACGATTCGGCGGCGATATTTGGCACCTCGTAAAAACCGTCGAATTAAAGCCAAAGACCTCAAATATATCTCAGTCAACTAATAAAGGGACAAATATTATCACACGAAAATAAGAGTTTTTGGAATTTGTCCGAAGTATCTTTTAGGCTTACCTAAAGTTGCCCGAAATTTCGGCCATTTTCGACCGCTTGAGAGCCCAAAATCATGATGCGGTGATATCTCGAAGAAAAACGAACGCCTACCTCGGCAAATGTCATGGTTGTTAATCTTTTCGGGTAGCTTTTGTACTGTGAAAAGATGAAGGTAAACGGCCGACCTCGATCTTTTGGTACTGCCCGGTTTTCTCTGACAATGACACTTACACGTGAACCGATTTTCGTAGAAAATAAACCATTCGTAGTTAGAAGTTTTGAAGCTCGCTTTGACAGAATATACACTTAATTACTAAGTAAGTACGTAACTTTATTTTAACTCGGGTTGATGAGGCTGATTAGGCCCCTAGCAATACAGTCATGCTAATATGCCAAGAAAAATATAAAAAATATGAAAAAGAGAAACACACATGATCAATTAATGACTAACATTCTAACTATATCAATAATACTAGTTTCGAGGGAAACTAATTGTTTCCCAAGAGACCAGTAATTAAGTCTTTTGTTATATAGCTGGAGTTAAGTGTAAAGTAACAAGGCAAGAAGAAGTCAAAGTAGCCTCTGGCTCATGGGAGAGCGGGCCAACAATTGCATAATTGTTCCCCACCGAGGCCAGAATTTAGATTTAGCCATTGCCACTTGACCATAAATCAAAAAATAAGAGCGCGCATTAGACTCAACTAAATTCCAGCCTTATAACAACTCATTTTGTATCATTATCATTACCAGAAACTTACCGTTTACTTTTAATCGCACCACTTCCCCTGAATCCCCCAGGATGTTTGTTGCTGAACACTCATACAAGCCTGTGTCACTTCCGGTCACGTGCTTTAACTGCAACTTTCCTCTTGAAACCGCTGATTGAGTGATTTTTGACTGATTGTTCAGTTTACTCCACACTAATGCAGGCTCTGGATTACCGCTGGCTGAACACTGAAACGAGGCTGACTCACCTTCATTCACTGTTAACGTCACAGGAGAAACAACAACAGCAGGAGATGATATCGATTCACCTGGCTCGCCTTTCGTTCCCGGCATGCCTGCGGGCCCTACATTTCCTTTCTCACCTTTGTTTCCAGGCTCTCCCTTTAACCCCGTAGGTCCCATAATGCCTTGTTTGCCGCTCTTTCCTGGCGATCCCATAATGCCTTGATCTCCCTTGTTTCCAGTACTTCCTTTCTGTCCTCTTCGTCCCCGGGCTCCTTTTGTCCCAGGTTGACCGGGAGGGCCTGGCGGACCTGATGAGCACGGGACACTCTTAGATTGACACAGATGTGCTCTCCATTGTGATAAAAGATGCTTGCTGATTTTGATGGTGGTTTCCGCAGTGTCTTTCGCTTCCGTCGTGTTCTTAGTTGATACAGCTTGTCGACTGTTTCTATGGAGGTTTTGAATTTCTAGTAACAAATAAAATTAGTACTTCAGTAAACAAAATAAACCCTATATTTTAAGTTACCAAAGCGTGGGAGCAAACTATTCCAAACCACAAAGAACCATTTTCTATTCAACGTTAGAAGTGAAACAAAAGCCTCTTGAATGCGTTTTTGTCAACTCTGCAAAGCCGGTAAATAATCCTTTTTGTTTTAAACTACTGAGACGACTGCGAAAACTGATGTTAGAGACAAATTAAGGTTACACCAAACCTTCGCGGGGATACTTTTCCAAATTTTCTTTTTTCCAACCAAATTAAAGTTCATTATTCAAGGTAACATTTTCCAAAAAATGAAAATAAAATATTTAAACGCGCGCGAGTTATTGGGAAAAAGAGGTTTTTTTTATAAAAGTTAATAACCGTCAAGGTATCATAATCCCCAAAAGGCATGGACTCCTTAGCGACCTTTTCGCGGCAAACGGCTTAATCCAGAGATCCTACATCAAATACTATCAATTTGAGATTTCATGTCCGTCAAGAGTGCCTTTTTGTGATCACGCTTCGGCAATTGCTCCTCAGTTTCTCTTTGTTTTGTTGCACATCGCTTTTCTCCGATTTGCCCTTGTTGACCACCCGCCTAAAACTAGCCTGCAGTGCAGGCGTCTTATTGGGGCGAGTTAGCGTTACAACCTTGCGACCGCCTTTTTAGACCGCCATGTTAGACCGTCATGTTAGACGGTGGGGGATGGGGGAGGGGAAAATGAGAAGACACCTGCCCGAAAAGTTGCGCTTCACTACATTTCCGGAAATGAGCAGGTAACTAATCAAAATAAGGTTTTCTCGACACCGGAAGTCTCGTCTTCCGACAAAAACGAAAACACAAACACGTGGAGTCGAGCTGTCATGCAGCAACATTTTCCGTAATGTCCGAGGAGAGCGCGGATGAGAGCTGTAGGATTTGTGAAGTTTCTTTCAAAGTTCAGTTCGGCAGTCTCCGTAAGCAAAGCCACTCTTCATCCGAGAACCTTTTCAAACCCTCCAAACGGAAAGAGTGCTTTGGTGCTGTTTTGAGTGAAATTTGCCGTTAAGTTGGATTGACGTTGACGCAAGAATCTTCGAAATATTTCGATCGTGTCTGCAAACCACGTGGGCGTAAGATTCGAAACTTGGCCCGGATGTATCAGTTTGTCAAGAAGGCAGCAACTGCAACGACATCTACTCCGGTTAAAACCAGCGAAAGAACTCTAGACACGCCGTAGCCTGCGAACAGGCTCCCGGTGAGCCCGAACGAAACCCCTGTCCCCGCCCCGATCGCTTCGCTCTCCGAATTCTTCTGTTTCGCGCTTGCCGAAAATTTTTTTCCGTCCTCGCCGGGAGCCTGTTCGCAGGCTAGACACGCCGGAGAAGGCTAGTCCGCAAAGGAGGGAATCCAAATCAGTACGTATTAATTCCCCGGTAGGGAAGATTTTCTTCGCCCCACCCCTCCCCTATCCTTCCTCTTGCCTATCATTCACATCCTTGGTAAAACTTTCTTTCTCTCTCCAGTCTTCCACTGCATGAAAAATTCAAGATGGCGGCTAAACATTTTACGATGTGAGCGCTCGCTCGAAAAAATCTCGCCTGCTCTGCAGGCTAGCCTAAAACGAAAACGTATGCGCCTAAAACGTGACTGTAACACTATCGCTTTAACGCGAAGCTCAACTTTCCTCACTGTGAACGCTAGGGGTTCTGTTATTTCATTGGCTGGCGGCATTTTGAGTTGACACATCCCCCTGAGAAGGCGTGACATGTTTATAAATCTTTAGAAGGCGAAAACTTGCACTCGTTTTTCGAGAGAATCCCTCTTTAAATGAATCAATAGGGTATGTAGAATCGACGGTTTTCCTTGAAATTTGGCTAGAACATTCACTGATAGATACGGAACAATAACGTGTCGGCGAATTCTTTTATTTCAAATACTTTTCTCGTGGCGGTCTCTAACGCAAAACGCTACGCGAATTTTTCGATAATGGAACTTGACAGATCTATAAAAAGATAACCAATAGAAATGAAAGAAAATGCTGACACGTTTTGAGAGATTGATGCTTTGTGATTAACAATGCACAGTTATTTTGCATCAACGATCGCATTTGATAGCCAGTCGGTCGTTTTGGCGTTAACGGCTTCTCCCGCCTTAGGAAAGCAGTCGGCAAAAAGAAGATAATTTTATCAAATTCTACATTTTATAACCTTTCTACTGATATATAGTTTGTGGAGGTTTCCTTCAAAACAGCGCGCGTACGAATTTTTTTTCTGGAGGACACCCGCGAAGGTTTGAAGTAACCCTTTAAAATTATATGCATGTAATGAACTCTGATGCAGAAAATCTGTCCCAACGTACCGACACAACATTAAATCATATTTGATATGATTAAAGGCAATTTTGTGCGAATGATTGCTTTTCTTCTGAAATTGTCTGCATTTGATTTAAAAGAACTTGACCTGCTAACCTGCGGGTTTGTTTGCCACAGCACACGGGAAGCAGTGAGAAGTGCGACAACACGTAATCAGGCTATATTTGTTCGGTACCCTTTGAAAAACGTTTAGTCGCTTATAAATTTACTTTCTATCAAGACCAAGTTGTGGTTGAAAAAACATAATGGTAACTCCTAGATCGTACTTTTTTCAGACCAACTTACCAGGAGCATTCTTGATTTTCATGTCCGCGTCATTTGACTTCGGCTTGGCCTCTGCATCGTTTTCAAGAGCGTTTATTCTGTTCTTCTGCTCGTTCATCTCCAGTTCTACTCTTATAAACCCAACGCAGTAAAACACAATAGACAAAACAGAAATGATGGAAGAAAACGAAGGCAATGTCTGCTTTTGAACGGCGGCCATTTCGTTCGGTGATTTGAACAATCTGGAATTCTGCTTTAGCTGTTTACGTGATACTGAGATAACGAGTATACACTGTTATGTGCCAAGATTTCTGCTGTTTACATACCATAAGCTCAAATTCGTTTACGATTTGAAATGTTATTGGTTTTCGGTGTGCTATTTTAGTATGTGCTGAAAGACTCAGAATTTTCTAGATTAAACTGAGCTGTCAGCATTTCCGGAGTACACTATCACATAAGAAGTACATTTACAGACAAAAACTTCACATTACCCGAGTTTAAGCAGAAAGTCAACAGAAATTTTGGATCGTTTTTAATGGCGATTGTGAACCAGTCCAAATTCCACGTAGAATGAGTTTCTTCGCGCAAAGCGTCAATTCTAAACCCACTCACAAGGAGAACAAAGTTCATATCCGTCCTGGCGCATTCTAAAATTAGTTGCTTTTAGGAATTCGACATGCTAAACATGTAAGAAGTCATTATTTTGATTTCGTTTCCATGGTTGCGACTTTCCGAAACACAGAGTTAAAACATTCCACTTTATCTTCTTGCTCTTATTGTTGAAAATTGTTGGTCGGGAGTGATAAAATGTGAGGGGACTGGGCGGCTCCCACAGGTGCTGATTTTTGGCACATTAACTTATCACGCATGTTTCAAATACGCTTATTTTAACCAGAATCGCGCGTCACACAGAGCGGTCCGCCGTAGCCCTGCCTACAATGTCGGGGGCTTGAGCGAGCGCGGGAAAAATAAAGTCATACTCGACCGACTGCCAAGAGAGGGGTTGCTCCAAGTCGAGTTGATGCAGCACAGATTTCAGAAACTAATCGCCTCTATAAGAGGCAAAATACACATTCTTTCCAAGATTTTTTTCAACTGTTTTGAAGTAGACAGAAATACAAGTGTTTCTCTTCGTAAGGGCGAAATGGACAGTTTTCCTTAAAAAAA